CAGATGCAAGGTCCATACAACTTTATGCAGGTAAGAAAATAGCCATTTGCCTTTTATCAGAAAACTAAAGGCTGTATTGTTAGTTTTGGAGTCTCCTAAGAGTTTTTTGCCTTGGGTGTGGCAGGTTAGCTTACTTTTAAATGGCATTAGAATGACACACAAAAAACCTCATCCCGTTATTAAAAGAACAGAAACCATAAAGAGTTACTTGCACTCCATACGTACAAAGTAGTTTCCGAATGTATTGAAATAATTGGGTTGGAATAGAATTTGCTTTTTCCATGTTTGAGCTGTAAAGTTACATGATCTGCTTTGGCAGGATTCAATGTTGGAGTTTGAAAGTCAAGCAATCGACCCAGCTATTGTCTCAGCACAGCCCATGAACCCAACTCAGAGCATGGATCTCCCACAGATGGTTTGCCCTCCAGGTAAGCATCCTGTGATTTTGGACATGCTCAGGTCCTGAAGATTTGGAACACTGGCTTATACCTCATGCTGGGCTACTATCTTCCGGTTCTGAAGAACCATTTAGTAACCGTTCTGGCATTCTAAAAGCTCTATAATTCCGGCAAAGAGCTGGTAAACATTCAAAGCTGTAATTTGTGCTAGACCTATTTGAGTGTTAATTATTCATGGTAAACTTCTGCATATTGATTAAGTAACATTTTAATAATACTGTCTTCTCGTCATTTTTTTTTTTTTTTCTCTTCTTTTCTCTCGTTCCCCTCCCCAAAGTCCATTCTGAGCCAAGGCTATCTCAACCCAACCAAGTTGCAGATTCCACACAGGTAAGATCATTTGCTGATGATGCATACATTGCATGTTTTGGTAACAATTTAAGGGGGAACTAGGCATAATTGAGATGCCTGTTTGGGTGAATTTTGCTTCATCTCCTCTCTAACACGTGGTAGGGTGATCCAATTTCACATTTTGGGCTACCAATTATTGTTTAATCCAAAGCTTGACAGAGTTGGGGGCCAGGCTTTATTTATATTGGGTAAAGACCTCATTTGGAGGTTGAAACATTGCTGCTTGTGTTATGCACTGATCTTTATTAAATCTGCTTTATGAGGCAGTCCTGAGTGCCTGGACCATTTCTGTTTATTGTAGGCAAAGTCAATTATGTAAGAAATGCCTGGAGATGTATTGTTTCATAGGCTAATAAAGTACACCAAAAGTCTTATTCTAAGTGGAGCACTGATTTCATTATGAGTCTGGACAGGTTCCTGATCGTTTCTGCTATCTCTTAAACTATTGACATTCAACCTCCTAATGTCTGTTCAAAGGTTTCGTTGGTATCCTCCACAAGTGACGGTTATGTCGGCTCTCCACAGATTTATCAACCATCTCATCCCTCTGAGCAAAGGACCCAGAAGGAGGCTCTGGAACAAATTCAGGTTTGTTTGCTTTTACATTTTTGTATAATATCCACTATTCTGTGTTGTGAGTTTTGGGGGTTTTGTGTGTTTATTAATCCTTATGAACTTGGCATTTATGTGTGTTTTGTGTGGCTTTTTAAAAAAATACTTATTTCTGTGTTTAGGCTTCACTTTCCTTAAGTCCTGACCCAACACAGACCTCCTCATCTCTTCCTGCTGCTTCCCAACCTCAGGTTTTCCAAACCGGGTCAAACAAGCCTCTGCACAGCAGCGGGATCAATGTTAACGCTGCTCCATTCCAGTCAATGCAAACTGTAAGTATTGCGAGGCATTACTTGTTAGATATGTGGTCATGCATATTGAGATCTAGTGTGTTTTTGTTTTTTGCATGTGTTTAAAGACCTCTAAGGTTACATGCCCACTTTGACTTTTTGGCGAGTTGCTAAAGGGAGAATTTATAGATTACGTGTATGTGAAACATAAAGCAATGACTTCTAGTATTGTGTTGCAATACACTAAAAAGAGCGACTTTAAGATGATCCATCAAACATAGATGTGTGCATGCTGCAAATATGCTCTAGATCACCATAATAAACACAATTTAATCACGGTACAGCACAAGGTACCTTGATTATTAAATTGTTTGCTAATATGTGATATAGAGCATATTTGAAATGCGCACTTGTATTTTAATTTTTTAATATGCTTGCCTGAAGCTCTCCAACATGGTAGTCGAAAGGTTCTGCGTAGAATTCTAAATATGTGCGAGAAGATTCACCCCACACCCTTTGCTTTCTAGGAAATTACTTGACAAATTCTTAATATAAAACAAAAAAACACCCTATATAAATTGTAATAGTACTAAGTTACTCTGCATTTTTTTTTTTATTATTGCCAGGTTTTCAATATGAATGCCCCTGTTCCTCCTGTGAATGATCCAGAAACACTGAAGCAACAAAGCCAGTACCAGACTAGCTACAACCAGACGTTCCCCGGCCAGCCACATCAAGTGGAACAATCAGAACTTCAACAAGAACAGCTTCAAACAGGTTGGTTTGGCTTATTTACTCGTATAGTAACAGCCAACACAATTAAGAAGTTTTTTTGCATCCGATGTTTGGAGTACATCATCCGATCATTGCATCATGAATGGATGGCTGAACCACTTAGCCTATACAGAGTAAAAGTTAATTATAGGATTTTGTGCTCACTTTTTTTTTTTTTTTTTTAAATACAATAGTTGGAATGCTTTTTAGAGTCTATTAATGTGCTTCTCCTTCCTCCCCAGTGGTGAACACTTACCATGCATCTTCAGATCCGTCACACCAAGCATCTGCTGGACACCCGCAGGCTGCGCAGCAGAATTCTGGATTCCCACGGAACAATCAGCCGTTCTACAACAACAGAGGAATGACCCGAGGAGGACAGCGTGGCAGCAGGAACCTGATTAATGGATACCGGGGGCCCTCTAATGGCTTTAGAGGTAAGCTGATTGCTTTTTCTTAGCTAAAACAAACTGATCTTTATGGCTAGGAAGTGGATTACCTGAGATGGTTACCGGTCAACAATTTGATTAGATGGTTGTATTGGAATTAGACCTTTTTAAGTGACGATTAACTTTCTGGTTAAAACCAAATGGTTGTCATCTTGACATGATCTGCTGGTTTTAAGTTCATTGCATATGGCCTACTTAAACAACACATACACGGGTGATTTAATACCATACTGCAATGCACAATGAATAGAGTGACAAATAATGCAAACTTAGCCTGACCATACCCAGTATTGCTGAATGAGATTAGGTAGATCTTGTATGTCTCTCATTTAGTTAAAGTGCCAGATAATGCACAGAGTTGAAGTATAAGGTGTGGTTTATTTTGAGCTTTTCAAATGTGTATTTAAAAAAAGTGTATAAATACAAAAAATGTAATGTCTGTCTAGGAGGATATGATGGTTACCGTCCCACTTTCCCGAACACTCCAAACAGTGGTTATACCCAGCCTCAGTTCAGTGCTCCCCGCGATTACTCCAACAACTACCAAAGGGTAAGCTTTGCGATTTAGGTGCATTAAACCAGAAGCATGTATAAGGTTGCCTTCCATACATATATGAAAAAACACCTGACAATACCTAGTTTTGCTTGGCCTCTTGGTCCATACGGGCTGCCATTTTATGTGATCGTGTTGGAAGCAACTATTACTTGGCCTAAGATCAAACTGGAATCCAGGTTCTTGTGCACAATTACCAAACTATGACACTTGTGATTGCCAGACACATGTGGATATAATTAAAAATCGTACACCAACTAAATTATCTGTTAATACATTGGGCATTGCTCTGTTAAAGACCCGTTAAGTCTACTTCTCATAACTTTTTTTTTTTTATTCTTCTTTTCCTTCTTTTGAATTTTTTCCACCAGGATGGATACCAACAAAATTTTAAACGTGGTGCCGGGCAGGGAGGTCCTCGGGGAGCCCCTCGAGGTAATGCACAAGTGATGCACTCGTAACTTCGCTACGACAGGAGGCACAGGCCTGAGGAGTATATGGAACAGTTTATGCCCTTATAACATGATTAGATAACGTCTGCCACTCAATTTTCCCAATCTCCTAGTTTGGAGTAGTTGCGCATTTCACTTTGGTGTTGGGTGAAATGTCCTGCTTTAAATTAACTTGTAAATTATTTTGTTTTAAAGCTCTGAGCAACAGTTTAAAGCTTGATGGAAAAATGCTTTTGCTAGAACATCTTGCCTTTTTTTAACCACAGAATCTGTCCTGAAAACTTGAAGTTTAATTTATTTTTTTCTTTTAAGCTTTACTACTTGTTGCGTTTTTTTGACCCACATGGGGAGTGTATAAATTTTTATTTTTTTTCTAAATTTTGATTCTACTTTTGCAAGCGAAATAAAATGTTTCTCCCATCCAACCTCCTTGCTTATTAAAACACCCAACAAAAACTCAGAATTTGTGAATTGTTGCTTGAGTTTCAATAAAGTTGTATTAAGTCAACTCAGCTGGTTGCGGAGTTTTTTTGTTGTCTGTATTTATTAAACTCTGCTTTCAGCTAGTGTGCATTACATACCATATCGCAAGGCGGAGGCCAGGCCATTGAACTAAAAATACTAGCAAGAGCTGAAACCCAATGCGTGCACACACGGTTCTTAAATACAAGCCTGCAGCTGCCAGGGGAATGGTTACATTTTGCTTCGTCTGCAACAGACATTCAGAAGTGCCGAACTCTAGGAAACATAAAAAGTATTGTCTGCAAACTGAGGCTCAACAAAGGTTTCTTCTTTACATTATATGCATAGTCTTTTAGGTTAGGTATTTTATTTATATAGTGCCAGCAAAGTCTGTTGCGCTGTACAAAGGGTAAAACTATTCTATGTACACCAGTATGTTCTACTTGTGTATTCATAGTCATGGATTAAGCTAGGTTTTGGCTTTCGCATCAGTTCTTATAATATATATTATAATAATCTTCTGGTGTTTGTTTTTTTTTTTTTTTAATGAAATTCTTTCAGTGTGTATAATGTGCATATATTTTTTCCACTTTTTGTTTTGGTAATTCCAACTTGGGGAGATCTGACAATGTGGGAGGTTTCTAGTTTAATTTTTAAGGCTACTCCACTCAACTGTAGCCCATTTTCTTAAACGTTTATTTTTCATCTACTTTCCATGTTTTATTTTGTTTATTTGCAGTTCGAGGAGGGCCCCCAAGACCCAACAGAGGAATGCCACAGATGACCAGCCAGCAAGTCAATTAGTCAGTCAACGAGGAGCTTGCAACACCAATTGGTGTGTTGTATATGTTACCGGAAAAGTTGGTTTATATATTTTTTTTTATTTTTTTTCTGCCAGGAAATCTTGTTCTAAAGGGACTGGTTTTTTGTTGCCTGATTAAGACAAGACTGCAGTTGTCTGCTTAATATTAACAGGATATGCGAAGAATTTACAAACCATATTCTGCATGTTCTTCCTGCTTCGTTAAGAGCCAGTGACCGCTTCACCTCTTCCTGGTTACGAAGGAGCGGCACTGACTGACTTTCATTAGTAATCCTGGTTAACCATTTAATTCGCCGTTTTTTTTGTTCTTTTTTTCTGACTTTGTAATTTGTTATTTAACTAACCACTTGGGGTTTGAGCTTGGTAAAAATCTCTAGCACCCCCTCTCACCCTGGATAAGGCGATATCGTGATTTCGGTGGTAATGCACTGTGTCCTGTGGTAGGCAAAAGTTCAGTCCAAGAGATTTTATTTTTTGCACTCTGTTGATGACACCCCTTAAAATTTTTTGAAACATTTCAGCTTTTTATTGGCAATTACAATAAAATTATGTAAAATGGGAGTTTACTTCCACCCAGTTACTGATATTTTTTTTTTACATTTTTTTTTTTTTTTAACATTGTAGCAAGAAATTCTGAGCCAAGTATACACAGATGTGTGATACAAAATTACCTGCATACATTATGTAAGGTTTGCTTCCGTGCCTAGAGGGAGTCCTCAGTCTGTATAATCAGTAGGTGAGGGGCATACTTGTCCTCTGTGATCTCTTTATTTTGGTCTAAACCTTAAAATCCATGCATGCATTATCACTTTCATGTAGGATAATGCCTATACCTTCCTGACGTAGATCAGAAAGGCTGTAGCCGCTGCTCTTTCTCTCACAACTGCCATTTGTGGATCATATTCTCCCCCTAAAAGGAAAAATGGTAATCTGGCAAATAAAAACATGTTTATAAAACGAAAAAATAATTCTGCAGTCGTCTTACTTGGGTTTCACACATGGGGATACACTCAAATTTTGAATAGACCCACACCTTCCTTACCTGTGCTCCCAGGTCTTGGAAGGTCTGGGAAATGTTTCTAATATTGGATTGATGTGAACAACACTAGTTCTATGGCTGCCAGACTATGGAAAAGCTGCTGTGATAAGCAATGTGTGGTTATAGAGGTATGCAATTTGACCTATACATCAACACTAGCGACTTTGTAAATCTGTACATGGTAAGGAACATGGTAAATGTGACAAATTAATGGTGGCGAAAATGACTAATATGTATAACGTCAGTACATCAGTGGTGCTGCCTTTTAAACAGAAGGACTTTTAGTAATTCAATTTTTGTGACCGCTTTCATAGTACACCTTCAGTTTCTTGTTCAATGGATCTTTGTATGGTTGGCTGTTGCATGGCTAATTCTATGAGAGCTCTAGCAAAACGTCACATCTCCAATGACTGGTTTGTTTATGTATCTGCAGATATCTTCAAGCTTAACTTTTAGCTCCTTAATTTAGTGACACCTGAAATTTATGCTTCTGTTTTCTGCATGAATATGATTTGGAATTTAAATGTCTGTCCTTACAACTAAGGCTTACTCTGGTATAGCTTTTCAGTAAGAAATATTAACTTGTGCTGTATTTATATAGCTCTGATCATGCACCCAGTTTCTCAGGGGTCCTCAAACATTTTAAACAGCGGGCTAGTTCATGGTCCCTCAGACACTGTTGGGGGCCGAACTATAAAAAAAAAAAAATTAACAAACTCCTATGCGTGTATACTCACACTCACTCTCTCACATACTGAAATACATACACCCTGACATACAAGATTTTTCTTACCTTTTTTGCAGGATGGTGGCTGTGGCTCCCGCAGCCTGGCTCTCTTCCCTCCCGTGCGGAGGGAGCTGGGAGGAAGTGACCACCGTCCATCACTTCCTCTCAGCACTACTTTGCGGCTGCAAATTTTTATTTTATTTATTTTTTTAATAAATAAAGGGGCACAGCCGCAGCGCTGACCGGCCCCTGAAGATATAAGGTCTATCTGGTGGCCCTGAGTCCTTGGGCTGACCAGACTTTGCCCGCAGGCTGTAGTTTGAGGACCTCTGACGTATCTATTTGCATTTGTGATGCCCCCTTTCAATGCTTCGTAAGCACTTTCTTCAAAGTTCAGTTACTGGAACAGCATGTAATAAAACAATTTTTTAATCGTGTTTACCACGAATGTATTCCACAATGCTTTACAATTATACAATTGGGGATATTTGACACGTAATTTACATTCAAAATAATGACATGGTGAAAAAGCCCTACTTCAACAAATTTAATTAAAATGTTGTGAATACGTTGTTTTTTAAGCTGTTCTTTCTAAGCGAATATCACACTTTACCAACCAAGTTCTCTGTGTATAGTCCTTATTTTATAATTTTGTATGAGTAGGATTTAAACCACACATTCCCATTCCTCACCAATAATGTCTGCCTGTGATCTAGTCTAGTCTAGTCTGTATTTTTGACCTGTTGATACCTAATAAAAATTACAATTCTTTGCTCACCAAGTAAGCCCACATTTACCCTCAAAGACCAGTGTGAGTTTTTAGATAAAGGAGTTTTTTGTTTATTTTTCTAAGCAACCCAACATTTTTACAGGCATTGATTTATAATATAAAGTAAATCGGTAAGTTAGGAGTGTACACACTAAATAGGTACTAAAGGTGCTGTGGACAACTGGTAACCAAAACTACTTTGGTAAGTGCATACTATACAATATTTGGTATTTCAAGATGGGATTGTCTGTTATTTTGTAGCACAATCTTGTGCATAAATTCTTTGAAACTAGTACAAAAGAATCAAATTTCTTTTAATCTGTGCTTGAACAAATCGATCCATCCAGAACTTGCCTGTGGAGTCCTATTCATTGAGTAATTGTGCACTAATATTTAAACCACATATTCTCATCCCTCTCCAATTTTGTATGCCCGTAAAGTATCTTGTTGGTTTGTTTCGTCACGGGTGCTTGGAGGGACCTGCTGGCCAGCCTCTTACCAAAAGACTATGGACCTTTGTAACAAAAAACAAAACAAAAAAGAACTGTGAACAGACTTGGTTTGTAGGATTTTAGATTTGATTCAGGAAACGAACAGCCGCACGAACTGGATACCACCCTGGATCTTGTGAACATTGTGGCAATTTCCACCGCAGTGTTTGTCTCGGTGGCCGCAATTCCTATGGACAACCACGAGGTGGTGGCCATCTTGTTAGCAGGAAAACAGGCAGCGGTGTGTGGTTGTTGAGTTCATGGAACTATTTTCGGACACTGAAACCCCCAAACACTGTTTTATAGCACTTAGGTAGACCCTGTTCGGTGGGACTGCCATTAAACAGATTGGTTTTACCCTTCATGAAGTCTAGGCTAGTGTTTGAGGGATTGGAGAGCTATATTCACTCTGGGGATTGCTATAATTACTATACTACCTTGGATTACAATGATTGCTCTTGTAAGACCAGCCTGCTTTGATCTCTGGACTGGGAGAGGTCTACCCACTAGAAGCTGGGTCCTGGGAAGACCCACAGTTGGTGGATGGAGGACAGAGAGACCCCAACTAAGCTGCAGCGGTTTGTGGTAGTTATGGTACTCAAGGATTACTAGAAGCAGAATTTGATGGAGTTACCCGGTTGGTGTGTTAGGCAGTCCGTCACCGGGATAAAAAAAAAAATAAAGAAACCAACACAGATTTAAAAAAATATATATTTTCCAATTTATGGGGCAGAAAGGACTGCTGTAGCAAATTCTGTTCATTGAGAGGATCTAACATTCAGCTTGTATAATGTTGAATAAAAGTATTCTGTGAGAAACACGTGGCTGCCCTACAGATCTGGTCAAGAAGGAATATGTGCCACAACTGCCCAGGAAGTAGAGAGAGCTCTAGTGGAATGAGTTTTGAGTCTCATCGGGACTGTAGTTTTCTAAACCTCATAAGCTTTAGATATAGCCAAGGTAACCCATCTGTAGAATGTTTTCACAGATGCCCTCTCGCCTTTATTCTGACCACTTGGGACAATGAAGAGTCTCTAAGATTTCCTGCAGGCATCTAAGCTTTCAACACTTTGGTAGAGAGAGAGATCTTTTGTTCAAGAGACTGGTGACTGAACTGTAGAAGAAAGGATTTCTGAGGGATCCTCAGGTGCCACTGAGCCCATCTTGTCAGGCGTATTGTGGACAACATTAAGCCTAATAGGCTCATGAACCTGCACATAACTTGGGAGTTATTCTGCAATTTTGTTCTTCAGTCTCCTGTGAAAGACAAACCATTCCTTGATATGTGTCGAAAGCTGCTCCTAAATACACCATCTGCTGTGAGGGATCCAGGTTGCTCTTCTCTATAATCAGGATATATCCATGTTCTAAGATGTTCCTGGTTTTGTCCCGATGAGACAACAATGTAGCTTGATTTTTCCCCACCAGATGAATATTGTGGGGTAATAAATCTGAATACCAAGTTGGCTGATTTCTGCAAAAAGGGAGATTAGCACTTTGACGAAGACCCTTTTGCCGAGCTGAGGTAACAGGGGAGCCTTAAATGGAAGATGTATATTGTTGAGGCAGAATCTTAGATATCTCTGATGTTCTTGTTCTATGTAGAATGTAGAAAAAAAGCGTCCTTTAGGTTGATTGAAATCATTCAATCCCCTGGCGATAATACTTTGATGATGGATGCCAATGATTCATTTTTTTATTTTCTGGCATCAGAACCCTCCTCTGTTGGAAGATTGGTTATTCTTCCATTGTTGACGAAAAGGCTGTTTGCCTGGTCTGTAGTGTCTCGACTCCCTGAAGGACTATAATTACCAGAAGCACATCTGTTTCTTCTTTCGGTAGGCAATAGTACTTTATGTCCTTCATCTGCTTTCTTGATACATTCATCTAACTTACATCCAAAGAGCATGTCCCTTTGAAAGGCTAGTTTTTGATGCAGTATCTGCATCCCACACCTTAAGCCATTAAGCTCTGCATCCAGAGAAATTTAGAGCCATTGATCCAGCAACCGGGTCAACTGAGACATCAGAGCAAAAGTCAGAGGCCATCTTAATATCTTCCTCAGATCTCAACAGGCGAGATCGGCTAACACCTTCTATGACATCCATCTCTAAATCCTCTGCCCACTGATACAGGACCCTGATGTTAGAGCAGCAGCCGGATGAAGGCTGACCCCCACAGCCACATATGCTTTAATGTCAATCCTTCTGTCCATAGGTGAAGGAGCCGGAGTCATCAATGGGCAATGTATTTCTCTTAAAAGAAACGACATCCGCATCTACTTTGGGGGCTGAAACCCAGGTTGGCGGAATCCAAGGGTAAACTTTGGCCATTTTACCTTGAATGGAAACTCTTTTCTGTCTTGTCCCATTCTTCCTGAATAAGGTTCTTGAAGGCAAAATGCTTACTGCAAGAACGTTCTTGTGCTGAGGATTCTTCTAGATTAAAGGACCACTATAGTGCCCTGAGGGTGCCCCCACCCTCAGGGTCCCCTTCCCGCCCGGCTCTGGAAGGGGGAAAAACTTACCTTTTTTCCAGCGCTGGGCGGGGAGCTCTCCTCCTCCGTTCCGCCCCGTTGGGTGAATGCGCACGCGCGGCAAGAGCTGCGCGCGCATTCAGCCGGTCGCATAGGAAAGCATTTACAATGCTTTACTATGGACGCTTGCGTGCTCTCACTGTGATTTTCACAGTGAGAATCACGCAAGCGCCTCTAGCGGCTGTCAATGAGACAGCCACTAGAGGATTTGGGGGAAGGTTTAACCCATTCATAAACATAGCAGTTTCTCTGAAACTGCTATGTTTATAAAAGAATGGGTTAACCCTAGAAGGACCAGGCACCCAGGCCACCTCATTAAGCTGAAGTGGTCTGGGTGCCTAGAGTGGTCCTTTAAGGGTTTCGCGAACTGCGTCAGTAAGAGCTTCTAACTTCCTCTCATCAAAACCTCCAGATTGAAGAATTTCTTCACCCTCTGAAGAAAATGAATCCTCTCCAAATTCTCTCTCACATTCACCATCTTCTGATGAAACATATTTGGAATCATGTCTAATGCTGGATCTAGCCTGTTTGGAGCTTTGGGTAGTTTCTCTGACTTCCTCTGCTACAGCCTGTTTGATGTAAACAATGATGTCCAAAAGGGTCGACCTTGAGCAATGGCTCATAGAGGTATCAGCTGCCATACGGATACAGGCCAAGCTCAATTAATTTCCTTTCAACTGCCAAGTTGTTGCAAATATCACAGCGGTTACATCTTGGTCTCTTATCCACAGAGGGAACCAGGGATCTCCACGAAGACCAGAGGGAGCTGTAAAATACATAATAGGTACATATTTACATGTAAGGAATTCCTTGGATGAAACTAATCCATTGTCCCGAGCACTCTTTTGAATTCTTTAGAATTTCTCTTATGTGCTGAAGAAGCCATATTAGAAAATCCAGAGCTTCTGAAAAGGGGTAATCCTTATTTAGCCGTAATAAATAAATAAGGCCAAAAGGATATTATACTTCAAATAAAACATAAAACTAACCGAAGTTTAATAATTAAATACCTGAAAATTAGGCAGCACTGGATCAGAAAAGAGGGCTTTGGAAAACTGTAAACAGCTGTGATTTTACTCAGTGTCAAAATGACTGGAAACTGCCAAAGCCCCTAAAATGGCTTTTAAAAAAAACGCCATCGATAAGCAACCGTT